TATATATATATATATGTATATATACTGTATGCATTAGAAAAACCTTAGAACATACAGTCACACTCTCCCACGAACATCATCCCACTTACTTCTCCTCCTTCGTCATACTTACATATTCCTCTCATTTATGTCCTCTTCTTCCTCTTCCTCCTCTCCCCCTCCCCCTCCTCCTCCCCCTCCCCAACACCCCTCTTCCCCCTACCCCTCCCCTCTCCCCCTTCCCCCCCCCTCCCCTCCCCCTCTTCCCCCCCTTCCCCCTCCCCACCCCAGCACCTCCACCCCCCACCCGCCGGATTCCTGCTCCTTATTAACATCTCTCTCTTTTTTATTGCCTTCCCTTCCCCCTGGGCCTCCGGTGGCGGGAGATTTGACGGAGGAGGGAAACCTTTGGGCCACTTGGAAGTCATTCATTAGTTCTGCTGAAGAGTTACACTGATATTCATATATGGATGGGTGTGTGTTGTGTTTGCATCTTTGCGTGTGTGTGTATGTATGGGTATATGCTAAGTATATATGCATGGATATGAATATATACATGCATACGTATTTATATGTGTTTATGTATATATATATATATATATATATATATATATATATAATATATATATATATATATATACATACATACATGTGTGTGTGTATGTGTTTGTGTGTGTGTTGTGTGTGTGTGTGTGTGTTTGTGTGTGTATGTGTGTGTGTTTGTGTGTGTTTGTGTGTGTTTGTGTGTTTGTGCGTGTGTGTGTGCGTTGTGTGTGTGTTAGTATGTGCGTGCGTGTGAGTGTGTCTGTATACACACACAAACACACACACACATATATCATCATCATCTACGGAATTGATCGTTGAGCCTCTCTCTCGTGACACTTCGGATCCACTTCCTCCAACTCTCTCTCCCTCTCCTTCTCCCTCTCCATCACTCAGGTGGTTCCTAATCCTGTTATGTCTCTGGTGTTATCTCGTTTTGTTTTTCTCTTTCCCAGTCATATCCCAGTCCTCTTTTCCAAGTGTCTAAAGAGAAGGAAAAAATGGGAAGTGTAAGACTGTGTATGTGTATTTATGGGCGTGAATGTAAACTATGTAGACAGATTTATACATATATTGATGGGCGTGTGTGTTTTGTGTGATTTATGTGTGTTTTGTGTGTGATTTGTGTGTGTGTGTGATTTGTGTGCGTGTAATTTGTGTGTGTGTGATTTGCGTGTGTGTGTGATTTGCGTGTGTGTGTGTGTGATCTGCGTGTGTGTGTGTGTGGTGTGTGTGTGTGTGTGTGTGTGTGTGTGTGTGTGTGTGTGTGTGTGTGTGTGTGTGTGTGTGTGTGTGTGTGTGTGTGTGTGTGTGTGTATGCTTACCAAGTTGTTTCAATACGGGAGAAAAGCTAAGCTCAGATAGTCCCGTTTTCTATATTTCAATTATCGTAGAACTTTTTAAAATGCATCTTTTTGCCACACAACTTTCTTTTTTGATAGACTATTCCATGCTTCAGTAGTTCTGTTTGGGAAAATAATTTTTGACATCTTTATCTCCTTTTTTTACTTTGAATTCTCGTCCTTCTTGTGTTCAAAATTATAAAGTTATCTTTGTCTAATTTCCCTCGTAATAAGTCCTAATTTCTGTAGTCTATCTTCGTAGTTCATAATTCTTAGCGTAGGTGCCCATCTTGTGGCCGCTCTTGATCTCTTTCCAGTTTGTCTATATCATTTTTTGAAGTGTGAACTCCATACCACTGCACCGTACTCTAGACTAGACTATCTAGACAATAATTACCTTATCCCATGAGTGTTGTAATGATATATTTATCTATCTATACGGAAGATATTCACGTCTATAATGATAGATCTTTACCATATCTGTGTCTACATACACGATTGCCGTCGTCTTGTTGGCAATCAGTCCTGGCAATTTATGGACCTTTTCATTTATATGATCATTTGGGCTTGGGTTTCAGTTTATGGTTACCCCAAGGTCTTTTTCCTTGTCAGTTGTATTTAATATTGCGTTTACTAATTTATATTGGAAAAGTGGGCGATTTCTACTTTTTCCGAACCTGGCTACGTGGCATTTATTGGTAATGAATTCCATTTTTCAAGTACAACAAATTCGTGTGCGTGGCCGTGTGTTTATCTATACGTACATGTATTTTTTTCCTTCTCTCTCCTCGTCATTCTCTGTAGTTTCCTTCCCCTTTCCGTTGTTGAATTGAAGTTACAATGTACACCTAAGATATTATAGTTACCCCTCTAGTATTCACTTTCTATAGGTATATTATTCATAGAAAATAAGATTTTAGGGGTAACTTTGTTAGGACGGCTATAGATTAGTAAAATTAATCTAAAAGATAAATAACCATTATCACAATCATCATCATCATCAACATAACCATGGTCATCTCATCATCGTTATTATTATCTTTTTTATCACTACATCATTTTCAGTTTCCTTTTAGTGCCGTATGATTTTTGTTTACATCCATGCACATAGACCAAGTGTTTATATATGAATAGATATACAGTACATACGTTTGTCCGCGCGCTTCCATTATATAGACAAATAAAAGAAAATACAAAACGAAATGTATTGATATTAATTAAGAAAGGTATACAACAAGAAATTTATTTTACTCAGCAACATAGCCCCACTCCCCTTCAAATAAATAAATACATTACTACAATAATTACCGTAACCCATAAATACGGTATAGCATAACCTATATTATAAAGTTTTCCGACATTATCATCAACTTTCGACCTCGTACGCCTATTCCTAAAGCATGGGGGGGGGGGGGGGACCTCGTGGGCGTGGACCCCCCCAACCCCCCATCACCATTAATATCACGATCACCAGTTTTTTATGAAGATTATTATTAACAATCATTATAAACTCATTCATTAGTAAAAGTAACAGTATTTGATTATAATCGATACTAATTCAATACAACTACGGTTATCATTATTTCATAATTTTCCTCGCTCTAACTTCATATATCAAGGTCATGGAGTCAAAAGAGTCAGTCAAAAGAAAAAAAAAAATCAGAAAACAAATATTTGATTATCCAAAAAAACTTAAACTTCTGGAAATATGTTTGGTAAAACAAATCATGAACTTGTTTAACCAAAATTCATTTTGGAACTTTCAGCATCATCACATTTTTCCAACCTTAATATACTTCAAACTGTATAAGTAATTCCTACATATAGGTTACTAAAATATATAAAACTCCAAACAGAATCCACAAAAGGACAATAAAAAAAACATTAATAAACATTCTACCTTTATTACACAGTATCACTACAACCCTCATTTTGCTTCCAACGTACCACATAATCTATCATTTTCTTTTCATTTCCAACACATCAACAATTTATCATTTTTTTTTATTAACTCATCACACTATCAAGTTTGTCTTTTTTTCAAATCACACAATATATTATTTTCTTTTCAACTCATCATACTTTTTTTTTTTTGATCACACAATCTATTATTTTCTCTTTAGTTCAACTCATCACCCTATCATATATTTTTTTTTAGATCACAATATATCATTTACTTTTCAGCTCATCACACTATCTTTTTTTCTTCTTTTTCAAATCACACAATCTACCATTTTCTCTCCAACTCACCACACATCATCATCACTCCATCTCCAACTCCAACTACACCACAAAAGCCGAGTCGTCAATCACATCAAACACCCTGTCTGTGATGTCATTCACCATACGCAGTTCCGGAGTGTTGAAATGGCGGAGAAAAACGTAAGAAGATTGAATGGTTCTCTGGAAACCTGAGAGGCTGGGTTCGAACTGCATCACGCCGTAGACGCCAATGACCAGCATCTATGAGAGGAGGGGGTATTTATGGAGTTCGTTGGTGTGGGAGTGGTTTGGTTTGGTTGGGTTGGTTTGGGTTGGTTTGGGTTGGTTTGGTTTGGGTTGGGTTGGTTTGGGTTGGTTTGGGTTGGTTTGGTTTGGTTTGGTTTGGTTTGGTTTGGTTTGGTTTGGTTTGGTTTGGTTTGGTTTGGGTTGGGTTGGGTTGGGTTGGGTTGGGTTGGGTTGGGTTGGGTTGGGTTGGTTGGTTGGTGTTGTGTGTGTTGTGTGTGTGTGTGTGTGTGTGTGTGTGTGTGTGTGTGTGTGTGTTTTGTGTGTGTGTGTGTATTTTTGTCGGTTGTTCATCATGTTTCTGGGGGTGTTAGATATATATAACGAAATTTTCAACAATTGCTAAATAAATGACTGTGTGCATATACTACTTATGCATTTAATTTCTAAAACAGTAACAACATACTAGATACATTCCAAAATGCACAATATATTACTTATGCATTCAATTTCTAAACTTGATACAGTTCAAAATGTGTGATCTGTGACAAGTAGATTAACCGGCAAATACCAAGAGTCCGCGGATCTACACAACAAATGACCGCCGCGGCCTCCGTGCCTACCTCCGGCAACCAACATACCTCAACCACAGATAGAATTTGTAAATTTCTCTCTATTATGAACCCTAAACCCGACATCTCTGATTACAGCAATGTCATGTAATAAAGCAAATTGTAAAGGATTTTTTGGTCAAAATTCGAATTCTTCATTACCGGATCTACCCATAAAATAATGTATCATGATTTAAATTCACGCCATGCTTACCTTCACGATAATAGGAATGGCCATCTGCATGTTCTTAGCGATGCCGAAAGAATCCATGACGTCGGTGATTATAATTCTTGCCAGAGGACCATAGTTGGCCAAGTAGTACTGAAGGCCTTTGCTGTAAAATAAAATAAATAAGTAAATAAAATCTAAAAAAAAATTAAAGGTATGTTTGTATTTCTCATTTTTGTCCTCCTTTTTCTTCTCTCCCCCCCCTTTTTTTTTCCTTTCCTTGTTCCACTCTTTCTTTTGTAACATATCGCGAATTTATAATATTTGCAAAATATTTGCTTGGTGGACCTCGCCCTGATGAATGTGGTAAATGTGTTCATACACTTTCTTTCAATTAATTTGTTTATT